TATGTCATAATCTGTCAGGTAGTTTGTGGGTGACTAAGGGAAATTAAGTCGCAAAAAAACGTCCGGTCGGAAATTAAGCAATAAACGGTCGATTAAAAAGTGGGAAGTTGGGCGAAATGAGTGCTGTAGTACAAGTGATGTTAGCGTATTTCTAATACAATATTTATTCACTTGCTGTTTACTACAGCTAGAACGTACGTATCTTCACTTTCTTCTGCCGGTTTCTCGCAACCAACATGATTTTTCATTTGGGATTTCGAGAAACTTAACATGAATCATTATGGCATTCATACGCACAACACCTTACCATGTTTCAACTTTTAAATTGTCAGTTAACAAAGTCTTTTATAGTAGCACTTCTATGGGATTGATGTACTAGAATGAATGTTTTCAATTATCAGTGTTCACTGATGACATCATTGGCCCTCTAGAGGCGGAATGACACCAGGCAAAGCGGACGTTTGTCGTCTACTTCACAGCCCGTTTTATACTCAATATTGAGGGCATTTTGCAGCACCTACAAGTTGTTTTATCGCCAGAATTCATTCATAGATCTCAATTTTCATTTACAGAGTGACAAAAATCTCTGATTCTGTTCTCATTTTTAGATTGTATGTATGATGGTGATTGTAACTATAGTGGAATTTGTTTTGATGGACGATGTTCATGTAATGTTGGTTACTCTGGCATTCATTGCGAGTATTATCAAAGCTCTTCTACGTGTACTATATTCTCATCAGACTGTAACCATGGTTACTGTTCTGGTGGATACTGTTCTTGTGATATTGGATGGTCTGGTACGTTCTGCGATGTACGAGATGGTGAGTTGTGACAATAAATCTCAATCTTGCATTTTCAGTATGTTTTTCATAATTAAAGCTTTCCAAGAGTTCCATTGCAATTTCACTTCATCAAACATGGACATAAAATGTATAATGGTGGCAATCAATGCAAGTCTTCTGATGATGATCTCTGCAATTATTTGAAACATTTACAGCATCCACATTAAGTGAAACATGCATTGATTCTGTTCCATTTGAAATTACACCAGTAAAGGCATATGTGTGAGAAGTTTGTCATGCAGTGACTTCTTAAACTCAATAACTCACAAGGGCTGTGCAATCTTTTTCAGAATGCACCTATAACTATGACTGTGGTAACAATGCCCAATGCTTGAAAGGATTGTGTTCATGTAAGGACGGATACTCTGGTGATGACTGTGAAGTTTTTGAATGCACTGCCTTCAATTCATGTGGTAGTTATGGTTACTGTAGTGCTGGTATCTGTGAGTGCATCATGGGATATTCTGGTACATTTTGCGATGTAAAAGACGGTAAGCTTAGAGCATTTAATGTTGAGCTATCAGAAAAAAACAGATTATACAAGTAGTAAAGACTTTAATCCAGGTCAAGTGTTCAAGTTGAAAAATTGTGTAACAATTGTTCATTTATTCTTACTGAACATGAGATAAACACAGTTCTTCAGATCCCTGAATTCACATGGCTTTATATGGAGATCTGCATAAACACAGTTCTTCAGATCCCTGAATTCACATGGCTTTATATGGAGATCTGCATAAACACAGTTCTTCAGATCCCTGAATTCACATGGCTTTATATGGAGATCTGCATAAACACAGTTCTTCAGATCCATGAATTCACATGGCTTTATATGGAGATCTGCATAAACACAGTTCTTCAGATCCCTGAATTCACATGGCTTTATATGGAGATCTGCATAAACACAGTTCTTCAGATCCCTGAATTCACATGGCTTTATATGGAGATCTGCATAAACACAGTTCTTCAGATCCCTGAATTCACATGGCTTTATATGGAGATCTGCATAAACACAGTTCTTCAGATCCCTGAATTCACATGGCTTTATATGGAGATCTGCATAAACATAGTTCTTCAGATCCCTGAATTCACATGGCTTTATATGGAGATCTGCATAAACACAGTTCTTCAGATCCCTGAATTCACATGGCTTTATATGGAGATCTGCATAAACACAGTTCTTCAGATCCCTGAATTCACATGGCTTTATATGGAGATCTGCATAAACATAGTTCTTCAGATCCCTGAATTCACATGGCTTTATATGGAGATCTGCATAAACACAGTTCTTCAAATCCCTGAATTCACATGGCTTTATATGGAGATCTGCATCAGATATCACATCAGTTGCTTACTTGTTTAAATCAAATTTTATTTGCGTCTATATATTGGATTCCTTTGTATTACATGCAGATAAATTGCAGATTCTATTGTGATACATATACATATAAGATTCTATATTTAAATACACTAATATAGTACACGTATTTCTTTTCCACAGATTGCATGTTTAACTCTGACTGCACTAATGGATACTGTTCATCTGGTAAGTGTATCTGTTACTACGGCTTTAGTGGTTCCAAATGTGACGTGGAAACTCATACTGACTGTTCTACTGATTCTGACTGTAACAACAATGGCTATTGTTCTATTGGATTGTGTTATTGTGATCCTGGATACAGTGGTTCAACCTGTCTGGAATATTCTGGTATGTGCGTTTTTAGTGTCATATTTTTCTGGGTATTTGGGTACCTGATCATGAAATATTTGCTGCAGTATGACAATAAAAATAGAAGTGGGTATCTAAACACAGTGTTCTTTATTGGATTTACGTGATATAGTGATATATACCAGTATCATTAGTTCATTTGACAAATATTAACTCATTGCAGTGAGGTCATTTTACATCTAATATTATGCATATATTCAGAAACTTCTAATATTTATAATGTAATCACACAGTATTGAGCATATTTTAAATTTTCCAAACAATCAATGACTGCTAATGTAATTTTTAATGAGCAAATTTCATGTATCAGAGGACATAATGAAACTAATGTTCATTAATTTTTAGTATAACATTTCTTTCTTTTTAGACTTGACTGATGATGAGTCAAGAAGTCAAACAACATACATTCATTACATCATTGGTTTTGTAGTTCTGACTGTCATTGCCATAGCGATATGCATTATCCGAATGTCTCTGAGAACCCAAGGACGTAATGTAGCCAATACTACAAGATTCACCACTGTGACAACAAATGAGAGGCATCCAGTAACTGCCACAGTACCGCCACAACCACCATCTTCACAACAACGTAAGAATATTTCAACATTTAAATTTTGGATACTTATTAGAAGTGCATCTCTATTTGAAACAAACATAAACAAAAATAGCTTTTAATGTAGTGTGTTAGTCGGTTCCACTGATATCTAAAGAGCCACTCATTGGATTTTGATGAAACTTGGCACATAGATACTCCAAACTAATGCGCAGATGTGATTAGTTTTGGGTGAAAATCTGTGCAATATTAATTACCTACTTTGCATAATGATTAATCAATTGTTGGCCTTTCCACTGATATCTCAAGTACTAATCATCACATTTCAATAAAACTTGGTACATAGATGTCATAGGAGACTGCACAAACCAGACAGTTTTTAGGGTAATATCAGTACATATTAATTACCTAATTTGCATAATTAATTAATTTTCAGCTTTTGATATTTCAAGTAGTAATCATCACATTTCAATGAAACTTGGTACATAGTTGTCATAGGACATTGCACAGACCTGATAGTTTTTAGGGTAATATCAGTAGATATTAATTACCTAATTTGCATAATTAATTAATTTTCAGCTTTTGATATTTCAAGTAGTAATCATCACATTTCAATGGAACTTGGTACATAGATGTCATAGGACACTGCACAGACCTGATAGTTTTTAGGGTAATATCAGTACATATTAATTACCTAATTTGCATAATTAATTATAATAATAATAATAATTTATTTACCTAGAAAATATTTCATACAATACACAAAGTTGTACATGCAGTCTAGGTAAAATGGAATCTGAAATAGCTTAAAAGCTAGTCGAGTCAGATTCCTGACATAACTTGAATTTAATGACTTAAGTTAAGACTGACAGTAGGTTACACCTCAATATATTTCAAATACACAAATATGATAATATAATAATATATATGTGTATATACATACATTTATAACAAATATTAGTTCTATTCTAAATACTCTGACATTAAATTTTCCCGTATAGTATTTTTGAATATAGGTTTTTGTTTAGACCTTAAAGAGATTAATATGCTGTTCCAAAGTTCATTCTAGGTACAAGTAAATCATTTCGACATCTTTGTCGTGTTCTATATTTATGATGTAAATACTGCAAATTATATGTTGACATTGATTGTGGGAGATTCTCATGAATTATATCATACATAAAACTTAAAAGTAATGACTTATGAAGTTTAAAAATATCAAGAATTTGAAGAGTATTAAAAATTGGTGGAGCATGCGCAGTAAAGTCGGGAAAACGTTATAATTCTGGCTACCATTTTTTGTGTGGTATGTATAACTTGAGATTTGACGGGTATGTACTACCCCAAACTTCTAAACCATGGG